CACTTTTTGCAGTACACATAACTCTCGGATAAAATCCGAGGTTTCCGTATTTATTATTATTATTTTTGAGATTTAATATTTTTTTTCCTTCTTCATAAAATTGAAAAGGTAACCATGAAGATGTACTGGTTGCAGCTCAATATGGTTTTCAAGATGAAGTTAATCGAAAATATCGAGTTAGTTTTTTTAATTTATCGAAAATATTGATCTATCAAATGTTTATTTAGACACATAAAACATCGTTGATTGATCTGTTTAAAGATATATTTAGTTGGTTACCATTATATTCATCTGTTCATACAGGAAAATCTAAAATTATTATAATGCATGGAGGAATATCTGATCTTATTAAGCTAGAAGAAATCAAGTCTCTTCAAAGAAATCGCTGTAAGAATGAAAATGATCTATACTTAGTTTTTAGAATATCAACAGTTCGAAGTTTCAGCAAATTAGCTTATTTTTTTTTTGTTTTTTGTTTTTCGTTGTCATAGTTCGATAGAATTGGAACTGAAATATAGATGAACAGAAACTGACAATTCAAAATCGATATTTATAACGTTTTATCATCATATCGAATAACAAGTAGCACTCATCAAAAGATTCGCTTACTTTTTTTTTCGCAAGAAAGTATTTGTGCTTCGAATGCTGAAAATTAGTTTTTGATCGATCGAATGAATAATCTATTTTCATATTTTGTCAACAATGAAACAACTCAAACACAATTTAACAATATTCTTTTAATTATAAATTACATTATTATGAAATTTCTATTAATCTAACGTATCTATGTAACGCTCGTCGATGAGACTCATTTGACCTTCAATCGAATGTACAATCCTTTCGCTATGATACACTATCACTACGAAATGTATGAACGAGCGCGAACGTGCGAGTGCGGATATCAGTGTAACAGTCGATGCGGTTGTACGTGTTTCTGCAGTTTTCCTATTCACTAATTCGACCAATCCCGCACATATCCACTCATGGATACCCACACAAGCACCACCTATACTCACACTCACTCACCCACACACATCTTGTCTGAAGTCTTAGTCTGAAAAAAAGGCAGGAAATAGAAGGTTTTCTATTGTAGAAATTGTATCTGAGATCTGATTGCTTACGGCGAACAAATAAACATAAATACATTTTCTTAAGCTACAACCTTTCTTTCATAAAACAAAATATATTTTAAAAATTATGCAATATAGTAAAAAGTTCTGACAAATATTGAGGGCTGTCTAGAGATGCACCAATTTCTAGAATATGTCATCAAAAATAACATTTTTTAAAATGTTTTTGCTCTATATGAAATATATAACAAAACTTTTGAAATTGATGAAAAATTCACATTTTTTAATTTTTTTTTCGACTCCTTCAATTGAAATCGGTCTAAAAGAAAAAGCTAAAAAATATGAATAGAGACTGATTATGACTGATATAAACAATCTCTAAGAATTACATTCTTAATGAGGGAAAAAAATGTTAATATTTATTGTTTTATAGATGTTACAATGGAAATACCACCAGAATCTAAAAGTGGTGGTAAAGAATTAACAAGTGATGAAGAGGATGAATATTTTCAAATGCAAGGTAATGATAATACAAATGATCCTATGTATTTAATGTAAATTATATTTAGATTTACTTTGGAGTGATCCTGATCCTTATAATCGTGAGGGTTGTCGAAATAATGATCAAAGAAATATAGGTGCTTTTTGGGGTTCAAATATAACAGAAGAATTTCTTAATCAATATAATTATTCAATGATTATACGTTCACATCAAGTCAAACAAAAGGGTTATGAATATACACATGATGAAAAAGTTTTAACTGTTTTTAGTGCATCAAATTATTGTGGTGGATTCAATTGGGGTGCGATTGTACGATGGTTTGTATATATGATATTGTTTTTCTTTTTTTATGTTTAAATATCAAATTTACTTTAGGGATTATAACGAAGAAGAACCATGGTTAATTTCATATAAAATTGGATCCGTTGAAATGAAAAACTTGAGTTTTAATAAACAGTAAGATAATCAAAATCGAGATAATGTTTGTTATTCTTCTTGTGCCTGTTTTTTTTTTGTTTCTTAAAGAGTAACATTATTTGAAGATCCAGCTTATCACTCATTAATGGAAAAAATTATCACAAATAAAAGTTCACTTCAAAAAGAATTTGAAAAAAGAGATAGATATCGAACTAGTATACAAATTATAATAATAGTATAAGAATTTTTATTTTTCTATCTAATTAGATCATTTACCTTTGAAAATTTGGTTTGAAATTATGACGAATGTACTTCGAATTAATTTACCTTGGCTTACATTACGTTCAAAACTTGTACAAGAAGATAAACAAGGAATTCTTTATAATACTATGTTCGATGAATATAGTTTAGATAATACGAAATTTCAAATAGTATAGAAAAAAAATAAAAATAAAAAGGAATTATAAATTAATATTGTATTCATATTGTTTTAGTCTAATCCGGGTATTATGGAAGATTTATATATGTGGAAAGATTTACTTATGCGATTATTTAATTTAATAGATCAGGATCATTCAGGTATAAATCGTTTTATTTTGATAAATATTTATTTATTTAATATATATATATATATCATAGGTTTTATAACTCGTGATGAATTTGCTGATATTCTCAAACTTTTACTTTGTGATGAAGATAATAGTGATGGTATAAATGAAACATATATTGAAGAACTCAGTTCTGCTATGGATTTAGATAAAAATGGAAGAATTGATATTAATGAATTTCTTGGTAAGAAGTTCATCTATAGTCGATCATGTGAAATATAATCATCAGTTTGATTAGATTTTTTTCATAGATTGAAGTCAAATTAGAAGTTTATAAATTTGATCTCAATCTTCTTGTTCTTAGAGTTGTTTGAAGCTATAAAATCTTAATCCAAAGTTTTTTCTGAGCATTCCTAGATCTTTCGAGAAAAAAACAAACTTTATAATCAAATGAGAAGTTCAGAAGCAATTCCAAATGGTACAAATCTTTCATGAGAATCTCTATATGATGGCAGGATGAAAATTTTTGTTTCAGAATTGTTGAACTCTCTAGAAAATCGGTTTGAATAAGTAGTTTTTCGGAGTCCGATTTCGTTTAAAATCTCATCACAGATGTGATTCGTGTTGTAGAGTTTATCCTGAAGTTTTTAACTTTTTTTGTGATATAGTTAAAAAGATATTTTCTAATTAATTACATGATTAATTAACTAATATTATTTAATAGTTAGCTAAAAAAAAATAATCCTTATATCATATTTGCAGTATGAATTGAAAAAACCTATGGAATTAATATTTTTTGTGTATAATATATTTGAGTTTTTTTTTTTTTCATATTCTAGAAAGTTTTCGTATTGTTAATGTGAAGAATTCTGGAAAATCGAATTATCAATCTGGATCATCAAAGAAAAAAGTTCAAAATACGAACTTTTAATCAAATGGAATGGTATTAAATAATAAAATAAGTTCATTGCATATTAAACATGACATAATAATTATACGCATACATATTCAATCCTCAAATCAATTAAATATGAACCAATCAAGCTGTTTTTTTTTTATACAATTGTTTTTTTTCATGTTTTCATATATTAATAAGAAGAAGATATTATTTTTCTCATACTTTTATAATTAATTAGCGAACAAAAAAAGAAAATTGATCTAATATTGTTTTTTTTTAAGAATGACTAATAAAGACATCTCGATTAAAGAAGATTATACACATACAAATATTTTATTCAAGTACTCAAATTCTATATTAATCAAAAGTAGAAAATGTATTGTTGCTTCATATGAATCGGAAATGGGTACAAATAGGGGCGGTGGAATGAGTTTCGGCTAGGATAGATTCAACTTTCCAGCCTAACCTAACGAAGTAACAAAGAAATGGTGCTGAAAAAAGAAACAGGCCGAGAAGTAATAAAATTATTCATGATTAAAAGAATTTTTTTCTATTTTGATTACTTTAAAATAAAATTAAAAAAGATACTGTTCAAATGAAATAAATCTAGTCTTTCTTTATGAATATGAGGCATAATAGCATGATATAAAAATTCTTAAGTCATTGTACATCGTAAATATGATTGTCATCAATTCATAGCACCGGAGGATCGTTCAGCAGTGGTTATTTTTAAAGCCAATATATGGACTGAATTTGTAATAACATATTATTTGTCCAAAGGAAATAATGATCCAATTCTTAGCGAAATTGATGCAGTTTAGATCATTATTTCGATATGTGAAGCAAAGTGAGTCACAGTGTGGGTGTCTTAATCTCTATGCATACTCACATCCTACACCCTCTATTGTTTTCTTCATGTCAGGTCAAAAGTCTGTATTTTTGGGATGATCCGACAATATAAAAAAAAATCGCTGATTCTAACAAGGACTTTATTGACTAATTCTGTTGCCTTCGAAGCTAAGTTGTACAATTGACGCCGTCATCCAGGATTCTATTACAAACGAATAGATTTAATAAGAGTTTTCGTACAACAATTTTACTCACTTGAGAGCAAACATACGCATTTGTGACATAATCTAAACTTCTACGACAAACAGGTTATGGTGTGGGTATGGGTTTAGAAAAGACTCACATCCACCCTTGAGAAAATACAGCCTTGAGTAGAGTCTCTCATATTTAACTCTATTTGATTATCTATATATGAAGTATTTTTAAAATGAAATATAGACATCGACGAAATCTCAATTGATGTCACACAAATTTACTTCTATTATGAATAATGATTGTCAAACCTGCATTTTCAAGTAGTTTAAATTTCTTTTTCTCTTTCGTACGCGGTCATTTAAGACCGTATTTGCTTGATCTGGGGTACGCAAATTCTCGCTCGTAAATCAATTCATTCAGTAAGATCAACTCAAATTCGCTGATTACCTGCACTAATAGTATCTAGAGGATCTCTCCATGCTTTTCACAGAATGAAAACAGTAAGATGATATCTAACTTTGTTCAGTGACATCATTCGCCGATTTACAGTCGCAGTACTCATTCGATATTATGCGAAAAAAAAGGGTGTGGGTATTTCTTTTCAAGCATCCACATCCATACCCACATCTCTACTTTTTTTAAGGTTTTTTTGCAGAAACCTAATGTATTTGCACAAGGCACACTTGAGAAGCTTTTTTATTGGTGCAGAAAAAAATCGATAAACGAAGCGAGAACGGTGCACTTCATAGGCTGTTCGTAGTTGACTTTTCTTCAAGTTGTAAAAGAAACAACACAACATCCATACTCAAGTGACGTGGCACGACATCAGCAAATATTGATAAAGATAAGATTACATTGTCAAAGACTTTATGACAGCACAGTTTTGAGCTACTTCGATGAATAATTTGTGCTTCGAACAAAAAAAGCAGACAATAAAACTCTTTGAAATTTATCTTCCACCATTTCTTCTCCTGATTTATGATGAGTATACGGTTAATTGTGTCTTTCACGTATTCATTTAAATGAGCGACATCAAGTTTATGTGGAAAAAAATTGTTTTTCAAGATCACCCTGTTGTTTCTCTATGGAATGTTGGTGAGACTTTTGAGTGTGTTTTAGGAAGTAAAAAACCTAGAAGTTAACATTTTTTTTACTTTTTGCGCGTTCTCTTCTATATTATCGTTATAGCATTTGTATTTTTTCGTTTTTGTCATAAATAGTTTCTTTTATCTCTATCTTGTACATTTTCGACAGTTATCATATGCATTTTCTTTATCTGTCTTGTGATTGGCTGTTTCTCTCTCTGAAGTATTTTTTCTTAACATTCTCGGATATTATCATATCCTAGGTATTGTTCCTAAACCTATACATACTTGTGATTAATCAGAATAAATGTGGATATATCTGTATTGGATACAGTCATTTTTGACTATTACACAGTAGAAGGAATTTTTTTCCAATTCCAACAACTTCACAGGTGTCAGGAGAATACTTTTAGAGACAAAAATGTGTGCAACTCACGACTACATGTAATCTTTCCCACTGAAACTCATTCACTGTGTAGGAGGCTCGTGCGCAGGGCTGCCAAATCTCCTGATTTAGCCAGGAGACTCCTGGTTTTTTACACTTTTCTCCTGATGAAAAAATCTCCTGAATCCAGGAGCTGATTTTTATGATTTTCTCCTGGTTTTTTAAAGGACTTTGTCACGTTTAATTGTAGTGATATTTTGAATCAATAAGACGAAGAAAAAGAGAACTATCACACTGTTTCATAGATCCAATAGACAATAAGAAAACACGTCGTTTCTGCTTGTTAGGCCTGATAACATGCGTTTATTTGTGAGCTTATTTTCTTGACGATTAAAATGTACCTCATGAACAAAAACTAGTTTAGTTCGCTTCTTCTATATCAACCTAGAATGCTATCTGTGCATTGACCTTCAGCTACATGAAATTTTTGTGGGCTGATAATAGAAACGATTTGAAGTGGAATCTTATTGGTGCATAATTAGGAACTAAATGAATAATCATCTCAGTTGTGCAAAGTTCCATAATTATCCTTTAAATAATTCAGACCTATTGAAACAAATTCAGTCGTCAGAAAAATATGGCCATGTTCATAGATGGCGAAATGTTTTGGAGCTAGGGTAGGCTCAACAATTTTTTACAGGATTCGCACCAGAAAATTAAAAATATGGAGTAAGCCAATTTTTTTGATGTCATCTTGATGAAACAAAGTTAGTGTTTCTCATTTCGAACTCGTATTTTGTAATGTATGACGCTGATAGAGATAAGAAAAGCATTTGCAACTTTTGAGTCAAAAAACGTGCACCTAAGAAAACATGTCGATGATTATCTTCATTGACTTTCAACTCTCACAAGAATTGTTTTCCATCTGCTGTGTTAAAAAATAAAATAATGTCCAAGCAGCAATGTTCACAAAAACGACATTACATTATGAATGTTTTTATTGTGTTGAAAAGATATGTTTTCTGCGGGAATATTTTTCTATACTCGTCGTTTTCTTGCTCTATTTCTTATGGCAATGGGAACTCCATAAAGTATTGGTGTTCCCGCATTTTTTCTCGTATTTACCTACATATTCGGATACATGTATGTAACAGCTTTTTATTTCTACGTAACTAACCTACTGTAGCTCCAATCATAATTATATTTTTAATTTCAAGTCGTGTCACGGTTATCTTAAAATCTGAAAATAAAACAGGAATACGAATTCCTGAAGTCTTACGATTAGAAGTGTAAATCGCCGAGCTGAGTCGCCGCTGTCGGTGGGACACAAAAAACTAACAGTTTTAAAGATTTTTCGACGCCTGAGATCACTCTTCAACGATGTTTCTGTCTAGGTTTTTTATCAGTGTGTTCTCTACCATTGTTTTCTCTTTTTCCATCCGATAATTTCTCTGAAATAAGAAAACCTTAAAGAAATTGTCCAACAAATTCACTCATCTCCGCCGATAGACTAAAAAAGTTGAGTATTTTCAGTCGCTACCGAAAGAAAAAAAATAAAATCACACTTACACACCACCGACCTATGAACTGGTTTACGCTTCTGCTTTCGGAAGTGAAAATATTTTTTTTTCTGGGAATAAGAGTGTAAGAACAAGAATAACAATTTTTTTCCGGGAAAGACAGTGCAAGGACAAAATAACAATTTTTTCCAAGAAAGAGAATATACGGGCGAGAACAGCAAATTTTTTCTGAGAACAGAAAAATAATCGAGAAAAGTTGCTCTCATAACACTAATGATCGGGTAATGTAAACTTAGTCGCTAAAAATGATGAAAGTCTTTGGCAGCTACTAGCTGATATGATTCAGGTTTTTTATGCAGTACTTCGTCACTTTTAACGAAAGAACCTCACTTTAAATCATGGCTGATCCAAGATTTGACATTTATCCACACAAAACTAAAAGTTTTCTCAAAAACAGTTTCTAGGTCTGTTTCAATAAATGTTACTATTTGTTGCCGATAGCGACAAAAAATCTTGACGTCTGTACAAATTTTTTATGTACTGCACAAACCTATCAATTTGACGTAGTAGAAAACAATTATTTGAGCGTACCATCGTCTATGGAATCTGAACCTAAGATAGGCTTTAGTCTGCGCAAGCCGTGTGATTCCATCATCTACGAATAGACGCTATCTAAGCCTTCATTTATTCCATCCACGAGCCTACCTAAGTCTTTAGCTGTCCAACCTAGAGTAGGCCCGAGTATACTCAGGACTTGTGATCCCTCCGTTCATGGTCATGTTACAAAAGTGACATGAACGATATAGTTAATAAATTGTTGTTCATGTATGCCCATTTTGTTTAGTTACATATTAATGTCTAATTAAACTTCATTTTCTATTTTGTCGGTATATTTTGATAAACCACTGTGAAATGAGTAGTAAAATAAATTCCACATAATTATGTTTTTTCAAAAATATATATCACTTAGAGGAAATTTTGTCATCAGTAACTTAGTAG